AATTTGGAAACTGTTTTTATTGAAGTTTTTTCAAAACTTTTATATTGACTATCGTATCTTGGTAAGTAACTTACGGTTATGGTTTCTAAGCGAATGTTGGAGTATTTTAAACGTCATAATTATAAGAAATGTAGGACTAGAATATTAATTACTAAGAATCAAGAGAAAAACGAAATGGATATTCATTACAGACTTTCGTTTATTTGATCGACTCATACATTATTTTCACTCCGTAGTTTATCGAGTGTATTTACCTGTATTCATCACACAAGGTTTTATTGATTTACTGGTTCTTTCATGTAGAAATTTGTCCACATCTTACATAATTAGCTTTCTACGTGTGTGTTCTATTCTATTTATGACCTTGTCGCGATCTTCGATATTGAGATCGAACTATAGAAATAGTGTCACTGATTCTTTCAAAAGATAGTCATGAGAGATGATATTTCCATGCTTTGAAAGCTCGCCTATGGACAAGAATGAGAGAATCCTTAATAGCAACTATAAAATATTTGCCTATAAGATTTGAGTGCAACATAGATGCCGGCGTCGCCGATAGTAAGAGTCTTATCCACCGATGCTCACACCAATACCCACACAACTATACTCATACATGCATCCAAACCCACATACACCCACCCACTGGGCATAGATGTCGGCGTCACTGCTAAAAAGAGGCTCATCCACCCACATCAGAGACGTACACATTAACACACACACAACCATACCCACGAACGCTCAAATATTGGGTGTAAGTCTAAATGTCGGCGTTACTGATAACAAAAACCTCACCCATCCACAGCCATAGTGATACCTACACACCCGCACTCACACACCCATTCAAATTCACATTCACCCTTACCCACACCCACATCCTCAATGAAGAGTTCCTCCAAATACGACATCCCGTTTCTAGTATCTACGTGCAAACACAGAAATAGAAAAGCTATAAAGTGTCAGTAATGTCAAACTTGAAAGTTGAGTTCAAGTATTCAACTATTAATTCAACTATTCAATTATTCAACTATCCAACTTTTTAAGTACTCAATTAGTCAACGGCTGGAATGCCACCAGAATCATCTGATATCGACAGGTATTGTCTCCAAGGCTACAAGCATCCCCTATGATGCTACAAGTATCACTTAGAATGCTACAAGCATTCCCCAGCATGCTACAAGCATTCGACAGGGTGTGGCTGTGGTGTGGCTGTGGGCGTGGGTGTGAGTGTGGCTGTGGATGTGGGTAATATTTGATCTACACCCACACCTACACCCACCACCCACACCCGCACCCACACCCCACACCCACGCCAACCCCCACATCCACCCACCCCACCCACACCCACACCCACACCCACACCCACACCCCACACCCACACCCACACCCAC